ACTACTCATTTTAGCTTATAATGACTTCACCGTGCTGCATGATCTTTAAATGAGGCTAAACACAATTACATATTAATGGGCAGGAAATTATCTTCAGACGATCCATCTCTTATATAATAGAAATGAGGGTCAGAACCGACAGTTATTTTCGTAGTCTCGATTCATTTAAATTCCCCCAGCTGGATGTCCATGTTTTAACATTTTTCTTTGTATTAAACCATTTACTTTCTGGCGTTGTGATGTGTAAAATGCTTTAAATTACACCAACTGCCGGGTTTGCATTAAATCATTTCAGTAAACATTTCTTAAAAACTCTGCGCTCCCCTCCCACTGCCCTAGCTCAGGAGAATCAATTATCATCCTTCCCTTTGGACAAAGCAAGAGTATTAAATATGAAATGTTTGGGGGGGCGGGGGGGCAGTGGGGATGACGTCATTTATGTCATTTGCACTTTCCATCAGGAAAAAAAAATAAACTGAAAAACTAAGTATTTGTTAATTTAGAGGTTTCACAAGCGGTTACTGTGTTTGATTTATCTAAGACTCATATCTCTGAAAAAGAGATACAGTTTTAGAGAGAATGGTTAACTGTCAGACATCAATATCACTTTCAGATATAAGGATCATTATGTGTGTCTCGTCGTTTAAAAGGCATATTCCATATTCCAGGAGTTATCATGGGCTATGGTACGTAACAGAGGGTGTATTTATTTCTAAAAACACTTCGTTTAAAAACATGTGTATCCTATTAAGGGTTAATATGTGTGTATGGGTAAGAAAACCCTGATCTGTCTCATTGGAGATTTTGAGTTTTAAATGAAAGCAGCGAGGTGAATTGTTAGTGTAAGACTTATCTAAGAGGCTTACATGTTAATGGCCATTGGAGTGACACTGAAAACCTCCAGTTATTTAAATGTGCATAGGGATTTGAGATAGTGCGCAGGTAACTTTTGTTCTGGATTTTAACCTAGTTTTCATGTATTCTGGCAAAAAGTAAGACTTTTCTGGTATTTAAAGCTTGGCGTCCTGTGCAGCCCCTAAAATATTAAAAAAGTAAACCTGGCGTAGTTTATCCATCTTCTGACTCCACTACCAGCTGAGAACAAGAGTGTAAAGCACTTACTCTCATCATTGCCTGAGCCACAGCAGGATTGACATGCCGGCTTTTGATGGAACAGAAAGGGACACACCGGGGAGGCAAGAAAAAGGGGCTTTGATAGCGGGAGAGGGAAAAGTAGGGCTGGGTACAGAAATATGTAGTCTGGGATAGAAGGAGAGAGAAAAGTGGGCTATTAAATTTTTTTAATGCATTTATAAAGACTTGGCGCAGGGCGCCTTATAACCTTGCTCGCCTTGGCCGACATTTGTTATATATCTAAAGCGGAAGTTCTCTTGTTTTTCCCCTGTTTGGACAAAGCACTTTTTTTTTTACAAATTGCACTTTAATTCACGTAATACTTTTCACTTTGTGATAAATGGTCAACTTAAGCCGCACATTTGTCATTTCGTTATAATTTTGCGTCTATCTGTCAGGCCCACGCGCTGAGTCAAAGTACTTTCATAACACAATTTAAAACGCTTGTCAATTACACTCTGTGCTGCTCATGTTGTTATTAGATTTCAGAGAGCCCATTATAAATTTCAAACAGTCAAAAGGCATTTTATACCAGGAATCTAAAAATATGCTGCCTATAATTAACCATAACGACAAGCCCTTTTAGACAGACCTCCTACTCGCTGTGCCTAAATTAACGGCAACAGATTTCTAATCGGGCACTTTTTATAGCAAAACAACATTTGTGCAATTACTAGAACCAGCCATTCATTTACTTTGGTCTTTGATAAAACTGCCCGGTTTGAAGTGATTTTAAACATTGTAAAAAACAGTGTTTGTTCTACAGTTTAACTTATCTGACCCGTGACTTCTGGGATCGGCTAGAAATTATCGTGTTTCCCGCCGAAGTCAATACACAGAAAGATGGAGTATGGGCATCATTAAAACCTTACTTTTATTTTGTTCAGTGTCATAACGTTCCTCTTGTTCTTCTCTAAAAATGACCATTGAGGGCTAAAGCTTGGATTTGTTTTTTTTAGTGATGGAGGTTAATGTTGTGGTAATGATAGAGGGTCAGGAGAATTTTCAGATTAGAGTGAACTCTGGGTTAGGGGGACTTAATCTTAAAGGACCACTATAGTGCCAGGAAAACATACTCGTTTTCCTGGCACAATAGTGCCCTGAGGGTGCCCCTACCCTCACGGACCCCCTCCCGCCGGGCTCTGGAGAGGGGAAGGAGTTAAACACTTACCTTTCTCCAGCGCCGGGCTCGGAGCTGTACTCCTCCTCTCCTCCTTGCTCGCGACATCATCGGCTGAATGTGCATGCGCAGCAGGAGCCGCGCGCGCATTCAGCCGGTCGCATAGGAAAGCATTTACAATGCTTTCCTATGGATGCTTGCGTGCTCTCACTGTGATTTTCACAGTGAGAAGCACGCAAGCGCCTCTAGCGGCTGTCAATGAGACAGCCACTAGAGGCTCTGGAGGCTGGATTAACCCTCAGTATAAACATAGCAGTTTCTCTGAAACTGCTATGTTTATAAAAAAAAGGGTTAATCCTAGAGGTACCTGGCACCCAGACCACTTCATTAAGCTGAAGTGGTCTGGGTGCCTAGAGTGGTCCTTTAAGGGTCCATAGGGTTAAGTAGACATAGGGTTAAGGGGTGCCTGCCTTCAGGTGCTGTGGATTACCATAATGGTTACCATAAAGCGTATAGCGTATAAAAAATTGTCCACAGTAGCTTAAAGGCAATTAACACTAGCTATAAGTCTCCCTTAACCCCTTAAGGACTGGACCTTTTTTGCGATGTTGTACATTTGCGACCAGGCATATTTTTACACTTTTGTGGTGTTTGTGTTTGGCTGTAATTTTCCGCTTTCTCATTTACTGTTCCCATACAAATTATATATTGTTTTTTTCAGGACAAAAGGGGCTTTCTTTACCTACCATTATTTATATACACTCATGTATTTTAATTTAAAAAAAATAAAAAAATATGATGAAAAATTTAAAAAAATACATGTTTTTTTTACTTTTACTTGAAAAATCTTTTACTCATCTACAAAAGCGAATGAAAAAAACTGCTAAATAGATTCAAAATTTTGTCCTGAGTGTAAAAATACCCAGTGTTTACGTGCTTTTTTGCTTTTTTTGCATGTTATAAGGCTATAGGTACAAGTAGGATATTGTGGTTTCAAAACATACATTTTTAAAATTTATCAATAGTGACATTGTAACACTATTATCTGTCATAAATCTCTAAATAACACCCCACATGTACATATTTTTTTTAAAGTACACAACCCAGGGTATTCAATATGGGGTATGTCCAGTCTTTTTTAGTAGCCACTTAGTCGAAAACACTGGCCAAAGTAAGCATTCATATTTGTTTGTGTGTAAAAAAAGTAAAAAAACTAAATTGAACGCTAATTTTGGCCAGTGTTTGTGACCAAGTGGTTACTAAAAAAGACTGGACATACCCCATTTGCAATACCTTTGGTTGTCTTCTTTTGCAAATGGTATGCCATCATGGGGGTAATTCTCATTCCTGGGCTACCATAAGCTCTCAAAGGCAACGTAACCAACCTGGCCATTTTCAATGTAAAAATATTTGACCCATATATTTGACCTTGTAACTTTCAAAAATGCTATAATCATCAGTAAAAGTGCTGTTTGTGTGTGAAAAATGCAAAAAAAGTCATTTTCACTGACAATATCATCGCTGTGATATGTTTTACTGTTTTGAATCACTAATATTTGTGTTCAGCGAAGTCTCCCGAATAAAACAGTACCCCCCATGTACAGGTTTTAGGGTGTCGTAGAACGTTACAGGGTAAAATACAGTGCTAGCAAATTAAATTCTCTGGAATTTCGGCCTGGGTTGGCAGGCAGGTCCCTCAAATTGCAATCAATAAAATTACTGAATTATGTAAAAATATTACATAAATACGCACGTAGAATTTAAATATATATGCATATTTATATATTTGAAGTCTACGTGTATATTTATATAATTATTTATGTAATTTTGTATATGGACATATGTATATTTCGTATTATTTTTATTTATTTATATATACATAGATATATATACAAATTCATTCTAAGTGTATTTTGATTTAAATATATATATATTAATTTTAAAATACAGTTAGAATAAAATTTCATATAGATATATAATTTTTTTAAATTTTTTTATTATTATTTTTAAAAAAAATTATTTAATTTAAATTACTTATTATTTATATTTTATAATAATATATATATATATACAATATATAAAAACAAACAAACAAGCAATATAGGCGCTAAAAATATAAATGTATCAGTGCAAATATTAAGAATAAAGGTAGAGCAGCACCTAAAAGTGCACAAGCTCAAAAAACACCATACAAAGGATATAAAACAAAAAAGGTGCGCTGTACCTTTAAAATTTAAAGTGCAACAAGTGCAAAAAAAAAAATCGTGCTATGAAAAGTGTATATTCAATAAAATCACACTCAAAATAATAAATGTGCAAAACTTGCAAGTGAAGAGTGATAAAAAATATACAAATGGTCACTTACAGTAGGGAAATATGTCTCAAAGTAAAATGCATATGGTATGGTACATAAAAAAGAGAGAAAGCATATAGCATAATACTGTTTTAAATAACATAAAAACAGCCAAGAAAAATGGAATAAAACTCACAAGGAAAGAGCAGTGAAAGTCTGCTCTAACTTTTCAGCATGTAATCCACAACACAGGGATTTGATGACAGTGAAGAGCAGGACGCCAGCTGAATCAAACGATATTTATTTCTTCCAAATAAAAAAACTCCTTTTTCCCCATAGAAGGCCAGTGTCCCATTAGATACTTGAAGAAATGAACACACCAGGGTTCACAATCTCTGCAACTCGCGGCACTATACAGGGCACTTCCGGGTTCGGAGCTCCGTGCGGTCACGTGATAACGTGATGACGTCGTATGCGAACGTGATGACGCGTTTCGCCCAGAAAAGGCTTCCTCAGATCACCTCCAGAAAAGGCTTATTTCTGGGCGAAACGCGTCATCACGTTCGCATACGACGTCATCACGTTATCACGTGACCGCACGGAGCTCCGAACCCGGAAGTGCCCTGTATAGTGCCGCGAGTTGCAGAGATTGTGAACCCTGGTGTGTTCATTTCTTCAAGTATCTAATGGGACACTGGCCTTCTATGGGGGAAAAGGAGTTTTTTTTTTATTTGGAAGAAATAAATATCGTTTGATTCAGCTGGCGTCCTGCTCTTCACTGTCATCAAATCCCTGTGTTGTGGATTACATGCTGAAAAGTTAGAGCAGACTTTCACTGCTCTTTCCTTGTGAGTTTTATTCCATTTTTCTTGGCTGTTTTTATGTTATTTAAAACAGTATTATGCTATATGCTTTCTCTCTTTTTTATGTACCATACCATATGTATTTTACTTTGAGACATATTTCCCTACTGTAAGTGACCATTTGTATATTTTTTATCACTCTTCACTTGCAAGTTTTGCACATTTATTATTTTGAGTGTGATTTTATTGAATATACACTTTTCATAGCACGATTTTTTTTTTGCACTTGTTGCACTTTAAATTTTAAAGGTACAGCGCACCTTTTTTGTTTTATATCATATATACAATATATAGTTATTATATATATTATATATATACGTGTGTAATTTAATTATAAGTGTATTTTTATATTAATATAAGTACATATTAATATAAAAATACACTTAGTATGACATTATATATATGATATATAGACATATATTATATAGATATAATATATGTCTATATATCATATATACACATATATAATTTTTTTTATTTTTAATTAACATTAACTTTATTTTTTTTTTTATTTTACAAATGCAGGGAGACTGCCTGTCAGCACAGACAGTCCCCCTGCAGGCAGACACATGGACTCCTATTGTGACCATGTGATCACTGTGTTAAGCGATCACATGGCCACAGGGTTCCTAATTCAGTGTGGGGAGACTGTCTGGGCTGCAGGCAGTCTCCCCACGACCGGAGCCACGCTGATCGCTGCCGGGGGAACGACGGCGATCAGGTAAGTACCTCTGACCGTTAGGACGGTTCTGAACCGTCCTCGGTCGCGAAGGGGTTAAAGATATTCTATAGTGTTCACAATACATATCTGTATTCCTAATGCTATAGTTCCCTCTGTCCCCCTCAAGCATATAAAGGTTTAGAACCCTTTAATCACTTTCCTAATTCCATCACTGATGTCCCTTGGTAGGCGCTATGTCGTCATCCGACAAGGGACATAGTGCGCATGCACAGCGAGGGTATGAGGCCCTCCCCATTGGAAAGCATTGCCTCAATGTTTTCTGATAGGGGTTTTCACTTGTGCTGCATGCCCAGTATCATTTAGGGGAATTAGAGTCTGGTAAACTTGCTGAAGTGCCTCTAGTGCCTGTCTGGTAGAAAATCACGAGAGGCTGTCCTAGTACAGCAAAGTAAAAATTGCAGTTTCTCAAAATAAGTGACATAGGGACACTGCAACCACACCACTTCAATGAGCTGAACTGGTCTGGGTGTCTAGCACTGTGATGACTTCCGCCTTTATAAACAGCGCAATAATGACATCATGTTGTATTAATTAGTCAGTTATTGCTTCACTTTTTTAAGTGATTAATTTTCGCCATGTTATCTGTATTAATAGGCAAAGAATGTTCTGTCTCTGTGCAAACAGTTACTATTCGACAATAATCTGTTTATACTGTTAAATGTGTTGAGGGATAACTCTATATACATATTTAAAAAATCCCACATTAGCATACATTTTCTGAAATTAGTGTTTTATTCACTAAACAGTGATTTGTGATGAATTAACAAGTGTCTTACTGAAACATTTATCCGACTCCAGGAAGTTACACACCTACATAGCCCTGCTATTTACTCATAGAGTTTGCAAGCCATTGAAGTCACCATAATTCTCTGTTTAGGAAATAAACTACTATGAATATATATGTGGGTAGTCATTCTCTAAAACAGGTACTGAATTTCATCTGAATAATATAACCCTGTCTAATAAGAATGCTAATTGAAAAATTCAAAAAAAAAAAGTAAGCAAACAGTAAACATACAGTCGTTTTGCTTTTTTTTCTTTATTACACAATTTGCAACTAAATAAATGTATCCTGTAACAGTTTATTGTCTTACTCTTTTGATAAATTATATATGTACTATATATTGTTTTTCTAGACAGAAACATATATGAGACATTTTATTTGTGTTTTATGTATCTTAACTAATATATAAAGTATGACATTGTTCTCTACAAAAATCAGGCTATTTTGTTATTTATCTGTTGCCATCTGTTAGTAGACAATGTAACAGTTTAGGACAGTGTTGACGGGGTAACCTTTAGTTCCGAATGCCAACTGCTGTTGTTGATTTTTGTTCCCATGATGCACCAGTAGCTGAAGTTGTAAAGGTTAGGTACAACTGGCCTTAGGAGTCTGTGCTATAAAGGCCAAGCATATAGTGGAATTGTGAGATTATAGGAGTGTAGTAAACTATGTACATTGTACTTAAACTTTGAAAGCTTCATAACACAACTGCCTTCTGTGTTTGGCCCCACAGAGAATTTACCAGCTGGCTTCTACTGCATGTTTGAAGATGGTAATTGTGGATGGGCCGTGGCTCCACTCACTTCAGGATGGCGGGTTGAGGCTCTGGAAGACTCAGATGGTAGGTAGGGCCTGGTCAAGGCACCATTGTCAACCCATGTGTCCAATTACCACGTAGCACTAGTGTGACACTAAGAGGAATATACCATAATACATGTATGATTGCTAGAAATGGCTCAGAACCTAAACATGGAATTAGGGTTCTTGCGGAGATTGAGAAATGGCATGTGTAGACTGCTGCCTATCATTCCATGGGGTGATCAGACCTCAGGTTGAGGAGGCTCTGTGACTCCAAGAGTGAGTATTAAGGTGTAATACAACGCAAATGTATCTTTTCACCCTCCTGCCATGCTATCTTGTCTAGCCAGGGTGTATAAAGCAGCAATACATAGGGAAGTAAAGCCCATGGCTAAGCACATGATACAGGAGCAGGGGTAGGCAACCTTTGGCACTCCAGCATTTGTGGACTAAATCTCCGATAATGCACCTGTAGGCATACTACTGGCAAAGCATCATGGGAGATGTAGTCCACAAAAGGTTGCCTACCCATGGTATAGGGCTTATCTGAAACCTAAAAAATGTATATCTTACCTCAAGTTCCGGAAGTCAGTGCTGTACTGCGGACTCAGTGGATAAGCACCAGAAAGATGGTTCATAATTTCCATTCTTGGACAGTTGGGTAAAATTCTTTCCTTATTTTAGACCTGACGGGCCAGGAGAACGTGAGTCAAAAACAGAACTAAAATGTTACATAACATTGAGACATTCTTACTATTTGCTACACCGAACTCTGATGTATGTAAGTGTATCACAGACGTAAAACCTGAAGTAATGTGTAGTAAAACTGCAATACATGTGTGTTCAGCCTCACAAATAGAAAATGTTAGCTTTGTTCCAAGTGACCTACACAGTCACATGAACCATGTCACAGAGTTATCTAAAAATTCCTGATAATGGCAACCCATAGTCATCCCCATTCTAGGTCTGATTGAAAAATTCCCCTTTTGAACAAATTATTGGATGTATAATAATGCTATATACTTATGAAATATGTAACCTATTACAAATCAAATACCCAGTGGACAAGCAGTACCACAGTTTAAGCAGAGCTCCAATCCGCAAAGCAATTTGACTAATGTAGACAGGGGTTTTTACGGCCAACCTAGTGATCGGAGCTCTACTGCAAATGTAAGACAAAATAATGTGGCATTTGGAAGGTGCCAAGGTTGAACCGAACCGACATATTTCTTTTTCAATCTAATGTAATATGGATTTAAGACAAGTCATACGTGCTTTGCAGTTTAATACTTGGTGGCTCCAGACTCCATTTAATGCACTCGGTGTTCACTACATCGGAAGCATTTTAAATGATAAATTATAGCAGTGGATACAGCACATGGAAACGATACTTATTTTAATAGCAATTTATAATATCATCATACTAAAGATTTCTAGGACTAAGATTTGAAGGGTGTTCTTTTATATCTTATAATAGATGTCTCCGGATTCTAGGTCATAATGTAAGAAAACCATAAGTAAAATATATTGCTCCGTGCCTCCGTAGATACCAAGATTGTTTATGACTTTAAAGGGACAGTTACACCATAAAACTAGTATCCCAAGAACAGGTGATGACATTGCTGCTTTGCTTCAATTCACAGTGATTTTATGTTCGCAACAGTGACTCATGTCAAACCCAGTATTGTCACCTGCTCCCTCTGATGTTATCATTTCATAAAGTTAATCAACAGTGTTAAAACAAAATGTAGGCAGATACACTTACCGTTTAATATGACTGCACTATGAGCAGAAGGCTGTTATACAGGCTAGGGTACCAGATCCTTGAAGGATGAGGGACTATATTGACATTCTCTTAGAAATCCCTCATAGTACCCTAACAATCTGGACATGATCCAAATGCCCTCTCATTCATACAAAAACTGAGAATCCATTTTTGCATGAGTTATTAATCATATTTAATGCAAATTAAAGTATGTATCTCCATTACCCTCTCATCGACTGATTTCTTAAAAATGTTTCTTCAAAAATGTTCTTCCTAAAGAAAATTCTAGAGACCGTAACATATTCACTGTTGACATTCTGGCATTTTATTGCAATGCTAAAGTTAATTATAAGAAATTGTTCCTGATCATATCGAAGATTTTAAAATGTAGATCATAGAAGGACAAGTTAACATGCGTTTGATGTCGGTTTAACTAGAACATGCGATAGTCAGCTCTCAAGACAAGATTCTGAGCTATTGGGTTGATTGGTATGTGTGTATTGCTTACAGTGGTGTGATTCTATATTGTTGCAAGTTCTCCAGTATCCAATGGTGCTCTTATAATGTGTTGATGTAACAATAATTAACATGTGCACAGTACAATCTTTTTAATGTGGTTCTGTAAACTACCCCCAC